ATAAATAAAGAATAAAGGTACATCAACAAGTAAAAAATAATTTAAAAATTAAAAAAAAAATGTTTGTGCCCAAACTTCTTAGGAAGTAGTCCCTGAGAACTGGCCAGAAGCCAAATCAGATGTGAGTTACTATTTCTTCCAGAAAAGYACTTATCAAGAAGGGCTCAAGAATTTGTTCTACAAGTATTTACCAAGCATCTTGTACATGTCAGGCACTGTTCTGGGCTCTGAAGAAACATGGATGAAGCAGCAAAGGTCCCTACTCTCCTGGACCTTCCTCCCCTCTCTAGCTGTGAGGAGATAAAGAAGGATGGGGCTGGGAGTGACAGGAGAGGGGGGCAGAACAGGCTGGAGTTKCGGACATCACTTCTGAAGGTGGGATGGCGGTGGTGCAAACAGAACAAAAAGAGGAGGCCTGGAAAAGAGCTGAGAACCCCATCTGAGTAGGTCCAAGTAGTGTTTTTAAAAAGAAGGCTATTGGGTGACCCTTATTGGGTACCCTCTCACCTACAGGAGTTCTGTTGCTATTCACACTTGAATAAGTTTTACTCTTACATTCGTGAAAAGAAGGAAGGAAGGAAGAAGGAAGGAAGGAAGGAAGGAAGGAAGGAAGGAAGGAAGGAAGGAAGGAAGGAAGGAAGGAAGGAAGGAAGGAAGGAAAGAGGGAGGCTACAGTCAACCCCAAGCATCCTACTATTACACATAAACCCATTTTTATTTCCAGATGGGTAATTTTGAGATACTGAATCATTTACTTCATTCCCAGAAGCTACATCTGTGACAGGCCAGAAATGACCAAAAAGTTATGCCATAAGACATTCTGTCTAGCAAGACGGTCTTTCCATAAATATGTATTTGTTATCATCTTTCAGGATCTATTAAAACTGTCCAAGGGCAGATCAGATGCTGCTGTGAATCCATAGAAACTTCAAGATGACATAATGCATCAAATCTTTCTAGGGAATATTATTGGGAATTTTATTTGTAAATAGTCAAAACTCAGACAATTTATATAAGAGTGCCTCCATATACTAAAAAAAATATTTTAAAAACTAAAAACCTAAAATAAACAGTAATGAATCTTTGATCTTTTAAAGAATGGCTTCATCTATGTTTACGTAATGAGACACTCTGCAAACAGGCTCCACCAAGCTGGAGCTAAGAAGATTCCTGTGAGTAAACACTGTTCATTTCATTTTGGCTGAAAACAGACAACACTTCACATCTGAAACCCTTTAGAACACTTTTTTTCGTTCTAAACATTCACATGCAATTTTTTAAATTACGCAAAAGATGCTTAATCCTTTCTGGATGGTAGGAGTAATAGTGATTTTGTTTCATTATATATCATTGTATTTTCAAAATTTGAGGCAATGAACCTGTATAATTTTATAGGCAAAAGCCTAATTTTCCTAAAAAAGAAAGAAAGAAAGAAAGAAATAGAATATCTGATTTTTTTTAAAAAAAAGGAATATATAGTGCTTAGTCTTGTTATAATTCCAATCAGAAATTCCAACTCTAAAATTTAATTAATTCAGGGGAAAAAAAAGTAAGCCTTTAACCCAAAACAAAAAGTGACTACAGTTGGAAAAAAGACGTGGACCTAAGAGTCTCACAGACTCCGTTTAAATCCCAGCTCCGATACTTAGCAACTGTGCCACCTTGGGCAAGTGTCATTTCTCTGATCCATCATCCCTCATTTGTGAAATGTCAATTGTGAGGACTAAGGATTGYCTGGGAGGTAGGCAAAACCATGCGGGGGGAAAACAGATTATTCTGCTTCTTCCAAATAAAACAGATGTACTCAAAGATGGTGGCAGATTTGAAATAATTTCATTTGAAAACAAACACAGATAAATTTTCAAGAAAAAAATAAGTCTTAAATGTACTTATGGCTGGCTACATCCATCCTTGCTTCTAGATTTCCAGTGGGAAGAAGGGAGAGGTAGACAATTGTAGATACATCTAAGAGGGCCTCTATAAAGTGTAGGGCAGAGGTTGGCTAAACAACGTCCATTATTGCTCCTAAGTAAGTACATGCAAATAAGCAAGAAAATTCTTTCACCTTCCTATTGTACAATTCAAGTATGGGAGTGGGGCAAGCTTTCCAAATGTTGTATATTACGTGTCCAACTCTACTTGGGGTGTCAGTAGGCTGAACAATTGATAGAGCTCATCAGATTTATTCTTTACACAAGAGATGTGTAAAGAATATAAGAAGCAGGGCATGGTGAGGCACGCCTGTAATACTAGCAGCTCAGGAGGTTGRGACAAGAGGATCTCAAGTTCAAAGTCAGCCTCAGCAACAGTGAGGCTCTAACCAGCCTCAGTGAGACCCTGTCTCTAAATAAAACACAAAATAGGGCTGGGGATGTGACTCAGTGGTCAAGTGCCCCTGAGTTCAATCCTCGGTACCAAAAAAAAAAAAAAAAAAGAATATAAGAAGCTGGAGAGAAGATAAACACACAGTCCAACATAGAATCAACTCTCCTAAATTTTGGTTGAAATCACCACTGTATAACCAACATCCACAAACATGTAATGTGTGCCCTAAAATCAACATGTCTCTGACTTCCTCTTTCAGTGTTCAGGAACCAAATCAGCGCAGTAAGGTTTGAGTTGTTTTATTTACAGAGAAGGGAGCCTAGAAAARGAAGACGTGAACCTCAGGAATTTTGTAGTCTAAATTCAAAGTGTACAAATGCTTTTTAGAAAACAGAAATCTTGGGCTGGGGCTGTAACTCAGTAGCAGAGTGCTTGCCTAGGTACTGGGTTGGATCCTCAGCACCACATGAAAATAAATAAATAAAATAAAGGCATGCTGTCCATCTACAACTACAAAAAAAAAATTAAAAAGAAAAAACAAAAATCTTGTCACTTCCATGAAAAATCTGGACAGGACCTGACTTGAGATTTGACTGCATCCAGCTATCCCTAGATTAGGGGTGCATGTTGGGAACTTTGAGAGCAGAGCCCAACCCAGGGTCACTGAAACACCATCGTTCAAATGTCTCTTAGTCAACAGCTGCACAAACCACCCACTTCATTAACCTGTTCTTGAATTATTTAGTGTCTCCCCCAAGGGAGAAAGAATTATTCTTCCTCTTCTGCTTCAGGAGCTAGCTCAGAGAACTCCAAGCCTRAGAGAGTTGAGCGAGCTTCTGGTAACTGCCACCCTCTGGACATGACCAAACTAGAAACAGCAAGTGAAATATTAGCCTCCAAGAATGCAACTAATTCCCCAAATCCAAAGAAGCTGAAATTTTTTTCTTTAGAATTCATGAGCAGAGGTTTGCTGCACCATTTAGGCATGGTCTATTCTATATCCTATTTTATTCTAAATTAGGTAAAGTTTCATTTTTCCTTAAAATAATCAATAACTTCAAGGCTTAATGTCCTGCCAGAGAGTAAACCCAGCATTTCAGGGCAGAAAAAGAAAGGGTTCAAAATTCCACCACTTCTGACTAGCAGGATTTTTTTTTTTAATCAGTCCCTCAATTGCTGTGTGTGAATCCGTCTATCATCCCTAGATTGTCAAATCAACTAAATGGATTCACACAATTTGAGAAATGGGGGAAAGCTTAGAGATTATCCAGGTCAACTTTCTCACTTTACAGATATGGCAGGAAGCCAGCAAGCATCTCTCCAAAGGTGACATGGTTAGAAGCCTTCCTCCACCCCAGGTTTCCCTCTGCACCCTGTCACAGTGCCTTGTAGCAGGAGCTGCAGGAGCTGCTGCGTTCTATTTTTAAGATAAACCCTCTCACACTAAAAACCACTCATACAAAACACCAGCATCTCACCCACCACGCAATTTCCTTCAGGTCTTCATTTTGGGTCATCTTCCATTGCATGCAATCTCTTTGAGGCTCACCAGCTGGTGCCTCCAGGAACTGGCCTCASAATCCATCCCTGTCATCTGGGCTTGCTGGTAGAGCCAGGCTATTAATGGTGGGTGCTCCTTCTAAAGCACCTGACCTTGACCTTTTTTCTTACCAACTTTCCCAGAAAGAGAATGGGCAGTTTAACCAACCTCTGAGAAGGAAACTCTGAGAGTTCAGTGGACTTGCAAAACGTCCCACAGTCTATAAGACCAGATTCCTCAGTCCTGCTCACTCATCTCTTTACTTTTTTCTCTTTGGGGGCTTCTGGTTCTCAACCCACATCTCACCACCACCCCAGACCTGAAGACCCATGACTCAGGACTGCTTTCAACCAGCTTAGTCYCTGAAAGGATGGCAAGAAACTCGTGTCTGCTGGGGAGTCCTGGGGTAAATCCTGCACCACTTAGGCATGACAGAATTTGCCAGGTGTGTCACCCGTGGGAAATCTCTGGTTGGGAACCCCAGCAGGACAGACCTCCCAGACCTTATTCTTTTCCTTCCCCAGTCTCCCTTGCCTCCTCTTGGTCCTCTTCATTGCCTTCCCGCCGYCCTCCACAGTCACTTTGTTTCCCTCCCCTCTCCAGGCCGGCCTCTCCCTACTTCCTCTTACAAGGAGCTCCCATTGTATTTCCACTTTGTCTCCAATTATGTCTAAATGCAACCCACCACAGATGCTGACATTTTAAATGTTTAGTTGTTATAGTTACTTGACTAATTGCCAGGTCCGACGGAGGCACTTCTCCTTCCTCTCCCGCGGGCACGAGAGGAGAGGAGGAAGGAGTAGGCAGGATGGGGTGGTAGCCACTTCTCCCCTGCCAGGGACTCTCCGCTAGACCCTGGGGAGGGTGCGCCATCCCGGGCACCAACGATCCCTCTGCCTCCAGTTAGGGTACCCAGGGCGCGCCCCGCGTTGCTGCGCCTCAGAGCCTCAGAATTGAACTGTCTCCTGCCCCGGGACATGGGATCTGCAGAAAGTAACACGCAGGTGCGCCTGGCTTGCTTCCCAGACCACCCACGCCGCTTTGGGAAGAAAGTGAGGTGCAATCAGAAAACGAGGTGGACAGGAGCGTGTTTGGGGCGAATGAAAAGAGTTAGAAACCGCTGCGGGTTACTCACGTGCCAGATGGCGAAGAAGATGAGCGCAGCGCAGAGCACCAGGGACAGCATGTAGCAGAAAGCGGCGAAAGTGAAGGCCATGGCCAAGGGACCCCAATCTCCCAAACACAAAGAAGCCCTAAAAGACGAATGCCCTCAGAGGGCCGCACTCCCTCAAACGGGGGAAGAACAGAGTCCCGTCTGCACACTCCCCTGGAGGCCAGTGGCTAGGGGTTGGCACCGCTAGCGGTGAGAGGCTTTAGGGTCAGCGAATAAGGATAGAATTCCCGCAGGCTCTGGAGACCTAAGACCCAGCCCACCCGCGAAGACAGGGAAAGGTGCGTAGAGAGTCCTTGGTGACAAGTGTCCCCAAATCGAAGAAGAAACCAAATCGGTAGAGAACACCTGCAGATTAGTGCCAACTAGCGAGGCCCTGGAGACCAACAAGAGGAGAGATGCTAGGATTCCACGGAGTACCAAATGAGGAGGTCCCGTTCCCCAGGAAAGAGCTCTCGGCTTTCCGCGCCTAAGCTGAAGAGGAAAGGCAAGCGCGTTGCTCAGGACCCTCCCGCGCCAGCCGGGCGCAAATGGAGAGCGTCCAGCGAGGTGTCCAGGAGGACTCCAAGCTTCTCCCAAAACCCACAGTCAACAGTGGCTCTTTCCCGGGAGAACACGTCTTTGAATAGCCCAGAAAAGCCAGGTCCCGTTAATCCTGCGTCCCGGACGTGGGCTTCCAGAAAAGCGCAGCTGTGCGCTCCGAGGCGCTCCCGGCCCCGGCCCCGGCCCCAACCGCGGCCCAGGGATACCGGCTTCGGTAACCCCAGTGCCTGGGAAACTGGGGGTCGGACCGGGGCGGGTATGGACTCCAGCCCAGCGGACCAGCTCCCTCCCGGGCGGTTGTAGCAGCGGGTTTCTGGCCAAGTGCTGCTTGAGGCGGAGCTCGCTCCACCTGCTGCTGCCGCCGCTGCCTCTGCCTCTGCCACAGGGAGAAATGTAGCGGCGCGGCCCGGGATCCCCTCCCTCTCCGCGCCCCACCCTCGCTCSGGCTCCGCCGAGCACGCCCTCCCCGGCGGGCGGAGACTGCGGCGGCGGGGGCTGGGAAAGGTGGGTGGCAAAACGCTGCTGGGCGCTTGGTCGCCGCCGCCACTGCAGTCGTGCGCACCAGCCTTTCGGATGAAACTTGAGGCCAGTAGTGCAGGCGGGGCCCGCGACCCAGCAGAGGTGGAGCGGGCCGGGTGAGCCAGGGACTCTTTTTAAACACGTGCGTCTGAAGGAGGTGGGTAGCTGCGGAAGAGTATGATGCGTGCTTCGCGCCTAAACCCCACAGCCGCCCCTCTAGTTCTAGCAGTTTCGCCTATCAGAGCGAAAAGTGTGGGGACTGGGTTTCGGGGGAGCGTTGCCTCGTCTTGGTTGGAGATAGATGACGACTGTTGTACCCCGTGGCTGCTTAGATGGATTGTCCCAAACTCTACCGCACTCAGTMCACTGTACTGCGTTTATAGCCCTGCTCCCAGGCTCTAAAATTCCGAAAATTCTCCATTATCGTCCTTCTCTGACATTCACCACATCCCCCCCACCACCACCACCACCGTTTGACCTTGGGATTTGAGAAACGTAGATTTTGAGGACTTTGCTGGGTAGAAGAGGCAACAACAGTGTTCCATTATTATTGGTATTGGCCTAGTGGCACTGTGAAGAGAACATGTGCTTTTTGGACGCAGACCCTTTTCTAGCTTAAGTTTCTTAATGTCTCAAAACGTCGGTTTCTTATCTGAGAAAACAGGGATAAAAGTAGTACCAGCTACACGGGAGGATGCAGAAGGAAGATCACAAGTTGGAGGCCAGCCCTCCGCAATTTAGAGTGAAAATAAAAGGAGCAGGGGTGTGGCTCAGGAGTAAAGCACCCTGGGTTCAATCCCCAGTACCCCCCCCCAAAAAAAAAAAGAAATAGAAGAAGAACCTAGCACAGAGCCTGGCCTTTCTACACACATTCCATAAACGTTAGGGATTATTATCTCCCAGTGGCCCAGTACCTTGGAAATTCACATGCTTGCTTTGTAAGGAATCAATGAAAGGGATTCCAGTCATTCCAAATAGAACCTGGGTTTCAGCTTCACATCATGTACAACCACAAAAATGGGATCCTAATTAGAATAAGTTATACTCCATGTGTGTGTATATGTCAAAATACACTCTACTGTCAGGTATATCTAAAAAGAACAAACAAAAATTTTTTTAAGAAGAACTTGGGTTTCAGATAAGTCAATCCAGGAAAAAAGGAGCAATGCCCTAAAAGATGATTGATGAATTATGGTGGAACGACATCACGGTTTGGAATAGTACCTTGCACAGAAAGGCACTAGATAAAACACTTGTTGCTTGATTCTAATGCTGGCATGCTAATTGCCCTGTGAATCCAATGACTTTAGTATTGGAAGGGAAGTTATAGAGCTAGCCTTACAACTAACCAGTGGCAAAACTAGAATTAGATATGAACATTCCTAATTCAGGGTTCTTTCTATTAAATCTCAGAGTTGATGCCTGTTTGGCCACACCTCCAGTTTAGAAGGTGCCTTTCAGCTGGCGTGGAGAAACAGTACCATGTCGAGGAACTGTTGACCTTGGTGGTCAACAGATCTGCATTTAATTGTCTCTGGGCTTAGAAAATATGAAGCTTCTGGTTTAAAAATTAAGAATGATTTAAGACAGCAACAGTAGAGCATTAAACCAAGATGAGGTTCTWCTGAGCATAAGACCCTGGGCAACTGTACAAATCGCACACTGGTGAATCCAGCCCTTCTCTGGATTATACCCCTTATCACTTTCACCTTTACATTTACATAATGTATAAATTCAGTTTGACAAATCTGCAGCCACCTTGAGTCATAACCAACCTGATCAACCCCTGAGTTGCCCTGATCAGTTTTCCCCGCATAGTTTCCCAGCACACTATAAATAGTAGTATGTGGAAACTTACWACTGGACCCAGGCATCAGGAATGTGCCTGACACTTTGACATTAACTTGAGATAAACTAGGTATATTCTAACTTGGATGATATCACTTTTGTCCTGAACACTTTATAAACTCCTGTCTTTCTGACCAAATTATGGGGATCCACTTGGTCTTGCTACTGCCCATGACCATGCTTCCATCAGTAATTTCTCCAATAACCTGCCCTGGGTGCAATCCTGGATCTGTTCACCTCTTTGCTTGGGTCTCACAGCACTGTGGAGCTGGTTCTTATACCCTAGGACCAGGTCATTCCAGAACACATAAGTATTTCTTCCAGTATAAATTGCCCTTAAAAGAAAATTGAGAAAATATAGATATGAAGAAGGTCAGACAAATAGCATAGTTAGCCATTCTCAGAAACAAAACAGTGGTTTTTATTTCTAGCTTCATTTTTTTTTGCTTTATACATACATACAGTCCTTTATTTTCATTGTTGTAATCATACCACATAAAATTTCATGACACCTAAACAATAAGACAGTATCAAAGGAAAATTCAATAATTCAAGTAATTTGAGCTGGTCTTTTGTTCTGGTGGTTTTCTGCATCTGTTGCTTATTTTTTTTCTTTGCTTGTTTTTGAGACAGGGTTTTGCGATGTTGCCCAGGCTGGCCTTGAATTTGCGATCCTCCTGCCTCAGCCTCTCCAGTAGCTGGGATTACAGGCACATGCCACTGCACCCATATTTCCTCCTTTATACATAGTTTAGTTTTTGTTTTCTAATTTTTCCTACCCATGTATAGTTAACATCTCAGTTTATTCCAAGTGAAGGCCAATAAAGTGTTTCCCATACAATGAAAAACTTGGTTCACCATGAAGTTTCTTTCAACATTATCCCATTTCTTTCTTTGCCTTATACTCCTGTCCCATCTCCAGCCTTGGGCATCTCAGGGAAATGATCAGTGCGTGAAGAGGAATGAGTYTGAATTTCTGGGAAGCTTAGTTACCCAGGCTGTGAGCCTCCTCCTGGCCCATCACTGACCCATTATGCCCATAGGAACATCTAACCARACACTTCCTTTAATATAGAATATGAGTGTCTCTATATCTGGCATTTTCTCCATAAATGAACTCTTGAGTTTCTCAATGTCCATAGGGCATATTCGATTCATCCCTTGCTTCCCAGCTAGGTCTTACCAGAAAGCCAGAAAGCTTCCCCAGTCTCCAGGTGAACTCCAGCTCGCAGAGTTCTCCATCCTGCCACCCCCAGGATCCCCAACCTGTATTCACACACACCCTTGAATCCCAACCAGAAAAGAACACTGCCCAGGCTGAGCCATGTGCCCTAAGATCTTTGTTTTCCTCTCATGGGTGTTTGGATGTTTGGAATATCCTAAGAATCAAGGTTTTTTAAAGTTACTTTATTTATAAAAATTTAAAAGACATAAAACACTCATTTAGTATCTGATTCAACAGTGGCTAGCATTTTGCCATACATGCTTCCTGGTTGTCCTGAAATTGTATTTTACAGCTGGTTTGTTCAAACTAGGATCTAAAGATTTTTTTCTCCTCACTCCGCATACCCTGGACACTTTAACCCTTTTCTTGTATATAATTTATGCAACAATAACTATTAAAAAAGTTGTGTGCCTGCCATTGCCAGCTCCGTGTGGAGCACAGTGACTTTATTCACTGGTAGCCAATGTCTGTTGCCCTCTGTGCCCTCGTATGTGCAAGTTGGCTCTGGCTGGCTTCGGACAGTGTTTCCTTGTTTGTCACACATTCACGTGTGAAGCTATGAATTGCAAATTTATGTGTGTTGTATAAATCGCCTCTTTATTTTCTTTAAAATAATTTAAATCTAACTTTGAGTTCCATTCTGGCTTGACTGGTAAGGAACTTAGTATCCACCTTCACTGGGGCTCCCCACAAGATTGCAAAACTGCTGGGGGGGCTTACATAACACTAAAGCTTAGGGCAGCTCCTGTCGTTATTCATGGATTCACCCTGGATCCTGCTGAGAYATCCTGCTAGACTGGTCCTTAGTCCTTTCCCCTCTGGTCTGCTCTCTACTAGCTGGAAAGCCTGGGAGTCCCAGTGCCTTGGCTCCGGCCTCCCACACAGCCATACTTCTCAGGTCTTGCCTCTT